ATGTTTATATTAATCTATATTATAATTTTGTAATTTCATAAACTTTAATTATTAATAATTTTGCTATTTTTCTTATATATAGTCTGGTTTTATTATTTTCCTTATTACTTTAATTTTTTTATTATAAGAAATTTTTATTAAATCTTAAGAAAGTTCAAGTAATTCAGCTTTTTTATCTGAAATTCAAAAATATTAATATATAATTTATATATTTTTTTTTTAAATAATATTTATATATATATTTTTTTATATGTTTGAATGTAATATATTCTTATTTATTAATTATAAAATATCATTTTTTTTATATTTTTATTATTTTAATACTCTTAATATTCATATATTTTAATAAAACTATAGTAATTATAATTTAATAATTTAAATACTAAAATTTACTTTCTTTAAAAAAAATTCCTTAAGTACAATTTTTAACATATAATTATATAAAAACTTAAGTAGCAAAATTAAAAAATTTAAAAATAATAATAAAAATATTCTATATATATAATATTTTCAAAAAAATATATTAGGATTAGAAGAACATATTTAATTTATATTAAATAAATTATATTAGATTGATTTTAAAATTTATTTAATATATGATATTTTTGTTTTTAAGTAAATAAGAAAATGTTGGAATTTAAATTATTTAAAGTTTATTTAAAATATAAAATAAAAACATATTTATTTGATGTAATTTAGTTCATAAATACATTTTTTTTTTAATTTTTTAATGAATTAAATAAATATCAATAAAAATTAAAAGAAAAGTAATATAAATAATATCAAAATAGGATTATATAAAATAAATATAAAAGAATATTATAATTTAAATTAAATTATTATTAAAATATCAAATAATTAATATATTTATACCTGAATTAAAAATATAAAAAAAATAAAAAAAATTAACAATATAAACAATATAAGTAAAATTAATTGATTTAAAAAAATATATATAATTTACTAAAATAAAATAAATAATATAAATTAATTTTTTTCAATTATCTTCATTGTAAATATATATTTATAAAAAAAAAAAGAATATAATTTCTAAAAATAAAAACTTTATTTTATATTTTATAAAAAAATGTTAAATATTTATAAAAAAAAATATTATTATACTTAAAAAAAACATATATAAACATAAATATACATTATACTAAATATAAAAAATATACATATAAAAATTAAATTTAATATATATATATATATATATTAATAAATATATATATTTAAAATATATATTTATAATATATATATATTAAAAATAGTAATATTACTTATATAAATATTATTTTATTTTAAAATTATTATATTCGTACTATTTAATCAATTAATACTATAATTCCATTTATAGTGTTCAACTTCTTGAAATTCAAAGGCTAATCCACAATTATTTTCTTGAGGAAATTTGTTATTCTTTTTACAAATATATCTACCTTCTTCTATTTCCAAAAAAGTATTCCATAAGAACAACAAGTACATTTTTTATAATTTTTCCGAAAGTTCTTCCATGAGAAGCATTAAGGATTAATTAAGATTTTTTTGTATTTTTATAAATTTTTATATTATTATTTTCAAGTTCATTAAGTAAATACGATTTACTTTTTTAAGATAAAAATTGGATTTATTTTTTTAGGTAATCTAGTTGTATTTATGAAATAGAATTCGAATTGCAATATTTCAAATATAATTTTATTAATTATTTTTAGGTTTCTAATGATATTTTTTAAATTTTTTTACTTTTTGTAAATTTTAAGTTTTGTTTAAATTAAATTTCATTTTTTCTTTTATTTTTCTTTTATTTTTTTCTATTTTTTTTTTGTTTCGAATAAAAAAATATTATTAATATAATGTTAAGGATAGGTATAGATAAAAAAAAATAATAATAAAAGTACTTATATTTAATTTTATTTTTTTGAAAAAGGTAAATATAAATTATTAAATATATAGAAAATAATTTTTTTATATTTGCATATGCATTATTATTTTTTTATGTCTATTTATTATTTTATTTTTATTTTTATTTATCTATATAAATAAATTATCAAAAATAAAAAAAAATTTAAATATAGATAAATAGTGTTAAATTTATATTTTTTTAAAAAAAATAAAAAAATAACTATTTTTTTTTTTATTTTTCTACATATAAATTTATTAATTTTTATTTTAATAAAATATATTTTATAAGTTTTATATCAAAAATAATTAAAAAGTTAATTTTTTTTTTTTTTACAATTCATTAAATTTTTTAATGAAAAATAAAAAAATATATTTCAAAAATGAAATATAAAAATTTTATGATTTTTCTTTATAATTTCCAATCAAAATAATTAATTTTAAAAGAAAAAATAAAAAAGAAAATATTAAAATTATTTTTTAATTAGAAATTTTATATATAAAATAATAATTATAAGAAATACTATATTTTTGATGTTTTTTATAAATGACGAAGATAATAAAATTAATTATTAAATATATTAATTGAATATAAATTTAAAAACTAATTTAATAACAAACTATAATTAATAGTTTATTATTTTTTAAATGTTAGTCTATGTACTAAAAATAAATTAATTAAAAAAACATATTAAGAAATCAATATAAAATTATATTTAAATAAATATTTATATAAATATATATTTATATTTTTTTTATTAATAATTTTTTATTGTTTAAATTATGTTTTTATGCATTATTATATTTGATTTTATTAAATTATATTTCTTTTTATAAAATATTAAAAAAATTATATTTAATCTTTTTTACAATTTTTTATTTAAATTATTATAATTTTTCTTTTTATTTATATATGCATTTAAAAATTTTTATTTTATTAAAGTAATAATATCATATTATTTAACTCATATTTTATGATATGTAAATTTTTATATATTTTTTTTTATTATATTTTTAATATTTATATATATTCGATTGCATAAGCATTTTTTTTGTATTTATATTAATTTAAATATAAGTTAATAAATATATATAAATATAATTAATATATAGATAAGTTTTTTATTTTAATCATCTTTTATTTTTTCTTATTTAATATAGTTAAAAATATAAATTCTATACAATTTTTATAAAGTTGACATTTTTAATTTTAATATATTTCCTTTATATACCAAATATTTTAATATTTTTATTCAAATAATATTAAAATAATTTTTTTAATATTTAATATAATTTTTTTTTTAATTAATATAATATTTATAATAATTATATATATAAATATATATAATTTTTTATTTATATATATATATATATATATCCATATATATATATATTATTTTATATATACATTTAAAATACTTTTCTACATATATATAAATTAACTTATATGGACGATCCGAAACAATTTAATTTTCTCCGCACAATACTAGTAAATAAATGTCATAACCAAAAAAAACTCCAGAAGCTTTTTTCAAATAAATCCACAGTTCTTACAACTTACCGTTGTATTGACCTTCCATCTTAAGAGATAATATAGAGGATAATAAGATTAAACTACTAGACAAAAATATCTAATAATATATAACAGATTCTCTAAAAATACATCTAAAAAGACGAAGAAATGGAAAAGTTTAAAAACGGAAATTAAGATTTATATTTTTTTAAATTACTAGACTTTACTGAAAGAGGAAAAGGAAAAAATTTCGTTGAAGAATATTTCGATATATCCATAAATGGACTAGAAAATTAAATATAAGAAAACGCAAATTTTGGTAATGAATCTATGGAAAAAATGAAGGAAAATGCTTAAATTAAATGGAAATAATTATATTCTTAATTAATGAATAGAATGGAAGGTTAAGCTTTTATAGAAATCGAATAAAGGGAATTCTCACCTAAAATTTCAAAGGTTTTATAAGAAAAATTCAAAAATAATCTTGGTCTTTGTATGGAATTTATTCTTTAAGACACTAATGCCTAAATACACCAGATTTTATTTTATTACTGTCAGGTTTTTGCATAAATGGAGAATATAGAAGAAGAAGATATTATTAATTTTATAATAACTTTGTCAAATTTAGATGTAAATAAAACTTATTTTTTTAATTATAGATCCGAATATGCTAAAAAATAAAATATAGACTAAAAATTCACATTCGAACTTAAAATTTTGAGTGATTTAGCTAAATTAGGAATGATAAAAGAAGTAAAAATAAAGCATTTTTTTTAAAAAAAAATATATATATATATAAAAAAGTTTGATCTTGGATAATAAAAAAAAGTTTTCGGAATAACACCTTTAATATGGTAATTTTGTTATAGGAGTATAGACATAAAAACAATAAACGCAAAAATAATTGTGGAAACAAATTTTAATCTATATGCATATTTAGATTATAATCCGTAAAATAAAACATTTTCAGAATCTAAATATATAAGAGATTTATTAAAAAAATTCAGTAAAATACATTATACGTAAACAATTAGGATAATAAAAAAACATATATTATATAATTATTAGATTCCCACATTTAATAGTGGCTTAATTAACAGAAGCGAAAATGAAATAAGCTTTTAATTAAGGAATTACATCTAAATTGTTAATAGAATTTTTTCATAAAGTAAAATATAATATTAATTAAAATATTTAATTATATATATATATATATATATATATATATATATATATATATATATATATATATTTATAAATATTTATATATATATATATTTATTTTTCTAATTTTATTTTTATTTATATTTATTTATATTTTCTTGTATATATATAAAATTTTATTTTTTTATTAATATATATTTTATCAGACTAGTGACGCGAAACTAAAAAAATATTTAAAAGATAAATAAATGAGTGCAATTAAACTTACTTAAAGTTTAAATCTAAATAAAAAGAAATTAGATTTTCTTTAACTATTTTAAAAGAAAGAAGAGGATTTTTCATTAGTACCTGATAATATTATACAAGAAATATAAACTTGGGAAAAAGAAAAAGATAAATAACCAGAATAATTAGACGATATTGACGAGGATTGAATATATAAATAAAAAGAATAAATATATATATATATATATATATATATATATATATATTTATTATTAAATTTTTCAGTTTTTATATTATATATTTATATTTAATTTTTTTTCGCTAAATAAAAGATTTACAATATAAAATAATACTCCTAATTTTATTTAAAATTAAAAAAAAAATTATATATTTAATTATTTATAAATACATAAATAATGGACAGTATTAATATATCTTTAATAAACTCCGAAACAGCACTAAGTTTATCTGAAAAATTATTTTCCGAATATTAAAAATTAATAAAAGAAAAGATTGACGGCATCTATGACGACTCTTCTTATAATTTATTTTAAAAGATTTTTTTCCCTAATGATCAAGATTTATAATATTACTATAAAATCCATAATAAAATCAAACAAAATGACCTATAATAGACTGATTTGAATGATTTTTGTTTACATTTTTTAGTTTAATTTCAAGAAAGAGTCCTTAAAAGTAAAAAACGAAGTAAACAATATAAATAAGATCCTTAAAGATAACTAACAAAATAAGCTTAATAACATTTAGATGTAACCAAAAGAGTTTTCCAGAAATTTGATACTGATGGAAATGGTTTTTTATAAGGAAAAGAAATACATGACCTTATTAAATAAACTTATGAATAAATAGGAGTCTAAAATATAAATACTACATAAGAAGATGTTAATTAATGGCTATAAATTACAGATAGTAATAATGATGGGAAAGTTAGCATTAAAGAATATGAAGAATTTATTATTAAATCTTTAATTAATGCGGGTATAATGATTGAAGAAGATAAAATTGTAATGTGAATTATAAATAAATATAAATATAAATATATATATTAATATATTATATATTATTAATTTTATATATTTTTTTGTTTTTTGTTTTTTGTTTTACAATAATTAATTATTTGTTTTATCTATATTTTAAATTTTTTATTTAATTATCTAGTTTTAATATTATAAAAATTAATATTATTTTACTATAATTAATATTAGTATTTATTCAATTATTAAAATTAATAATAATATAAATTAAAAATATATTCAATGTAAAATCTTTTAATAATATTAATAATTTAAATATTAATAATTAATTTTAATTTTTTACATTTATAAGAAATAAAATATATATCAAATTAATAAATTAAAAATATTTTATTTTATAAAATTAATATAAATTAAATACATTTTATTAATATATTTTATATTAAATATTTTTATAAATTATTCAAAAAAATTTAAACAATTTTTTTTAATATTATTATATTTAGTTTTAATATTATTATAAAAATTCATTTTTTTATTATTCCTCACAACCTAGCAAATTTAATAAAATTCTTAAATGTTGAACAACGTCATTATTACATTTTCTATAAAATTAAAAAAATATATATTTATATATAAAAATTTATCTATATTTATATATATATATATAATATACTTCTAATTAAGAAAACAAGTATTAAAAAATATTAAAAAATTATCTTTAATAGCTTATTATTAACATAAACTTTAATTTTCATTAATCATTTTTTCAAATTCAATAATTCTTATTTTCAAGTTTTTAATCTTAGATAATAGTATGTAATAGTATATACATATATATATAAATAATATAAATATTTATATATATATTTTTTTATATTTATATATATTTTTTTTATATACAATTATATTTATTTTGAATTATACCTATTATTAATATTGAATTTCATTTTGTTCTTAATCATATAATTCTTATTTAATTTAATAGACATAGTTTTTTAATTCATCCATTTCCAATTTTAATAAATTAAAATCTGCCTATATATTAATATTACAGTTTTTATTAGATTCTTATTATAATTAGATTTTTTATTTTAAATTTTCATTTTCTATTTACAATTTTGCAATTTATTAATTACTAGTTTTTATTTTTACTTTAAAATAAAAAATTCTTGATTTTTTATTTATTAATTCTCACCAGAATTTAAAATTTTCTCATTTTTTTCAATTCCTTCAATTTCGTCACTTTCTGACATAAAAATTGCCTTTTTTATCCTAATTCTTGATATTTCATTAAAGTTTCCGAAATTTTCTTTCTTTTCATCCCTTTAATCTTCAATTTCTTTACTAAATTTAAACTTTAAGCTCTAGTTTTCCATTTAACTTATTAAATTTTATATTAAAATCTCTTTTTCTTAAATTTATTTTTCCATAAACTTCAATAAGTCCCCTATATTAGCATTTAATTATTCAATAAAAGTTTCTATAGGCAATTCTTGATCAATTGAAAGTAATTGGACGCCCAAAGTTTTCAAAAGGAAGCTTTTTTCGACATATTATTTCACTTCTTTTTCCATTTAAAAAATCAAATTATTAATTGCATCCATTTTTCGGTTCAAAACGAAATTTTAATCTTCATATTCTTCCTAATCCTTTTGAAAGATTTGAAGTTTTATTATTTTTTCACCTAATTCTTCCAAAGTTTATTACAAATTTTTATTTTATTCCGAAATTTTCTCATATTTTTTCCCCATACTATTAATTTTTGTTTAAAAACTAGCATTCTATATACACTATAGAATATAACATTTCAAAATATGATTAGTTTTTTATATTAATTTATCATTTTTTTATATTAATTGATTATTTTGTTATATTTATTAGTTTTTTTCTTATATTTATATATCTTTTTCTTATATTTATTAATTTAGTTCTTATATTTATATATTTAATTTAATAATATTTATATTAAAATCTTCTTTTTATTTATTAAATTAGTTTATTTATTAAGTAAAATAATCTATAAGTACATTTTTTTCTTATATTTATATGTTTTTCTCGTCTATTTATCGTTTAAAATAATTAATTTGGCCGTCTTATTATTCATTTTATTATATTTGTATTTATAATTTATTAATAAACTAGTCTTTGTGTTGATTTTCTTATTTGATTTAATCAATTTATTCATTTTTAATTTAAATTTAATTTTAAAGATCTTCCAAAATAGTCTTTTATACTTATATTTCATTATCTATATTTATTTATTTATTTAGAACTTAATTTTGGCTTAATATTATTTGATTTTTTTAATTAATTTCTTTATTTTTCTCTTCTATATACTATTATTATTTATTATTTTATTATTCTATATCTTATTTTAAACTAATAATTAATTATTCTTTTTCTTTATTTAATTATTGCTATTTTATTTATAATTCACTTATATATATATTTAATTCTTCGGTTTATTATTTATATTTTTAGTTTTATTACTCTATATTAGTTATTTTTATTTATAATTCATTTATTTATTCAATTTAGTAAATTAATAGATTATTCTGTTTATTTAATTCTAAATTTTAATTACTTATTTCCTATATATAATTCTTTTTTTCTTCATTTTATATTTTCTCATTTTATTCGATTATTTATTATTCATTTTTAATTAAAAAACTATTATATTTAATCTTATTTTGCTCAATTTAACCTTCTAATTACGTAATATATAAAATCTATTCTTAAATTTTATTTTATAAGTTAATATTATCATTATTATTTAAAAGTTATCCAATTTATTTTTCTAAATCTTTAATTTTCTTCTAATATTATTATATTTATTAGTTTTTTAAATCTAATTATTAATCAGAAATCTTAATTTATTGAATATATTTGATATTTTCTTAATTTAATGTTAAAAATTGTTATTAATCATATTCTAATATTAATTGATTTTATTTTTAATCTAATTTTTCCTAAAGTTCCCCTTTTAATTATTATATATCTTTCAATAAATTTATATTATTATTTTCAATTCTTCATTTTGATTTAAAATCTTTTAATTTTCATTTAATAAATTTTCATATTTTATATTTAAATTTTCCTTTTCATTTTAAATAATTTTCTTTTATTAAACAAAAAAAAATTCCTCATATTTAATTTTTTCTAATAAAGCTTTATTTTTTTCTAATAAATCTTTCTCTATTTATTAAGCTTATTTATTATTTTCTTCAAATTAATTATTAATATTTTATAAAACGTCAATTTATTATTGTTTTTCTTATAAAATACTATTTAAATTATTAATTTATGATACTAAATCATCAATTTACGCCTAAAAAATAACAAAATCTTCTTATTTTTTATTCTAATCAAAAAATTATTAATTTAAAATAGTGCTTATTATTATTTTTTATAATATATATATATATATATATATAAATATTTAAATAAAATACTTTTTTTCTTATTAAAAATCATCCCTTTTTTAATTTTCATTTTAAAAAATATTCATTTTTTTTTTATCATTTATTATCTCTTTTTTTAATAAACTATTCTCATTATATAAATTCTCTTTTTCTTTTTCATATTAATTTAGTCTTTTTATACTTTCCTATTCCATATTAGAGTATTTTTAAATCAAATAAACTTATTATTTCTCATATTCTTTTATTAATAATTCCATTTCTTTATATTTTTATAATATTTCTTCATTTTTTTCTTCTAATTCTTTTATTTTATTTATATATTTCTCTTATATATTATTTTATTATTAATTGATTTATAATTAATAATTACTACATAAATTTTAATTATCCTGATTTTTTAAACTAAAGCATTTTATGATTAAAGTATCTCCTATAATTAAGAAAGTTAAAATTAATTAATTTAACAAGAAACCATATTTTAAACATATTCAAATTATTATTTTTCCGGACCATAAATTTTATTCTCATATTAATTTACATTTCTTTCGACTATTATATCCTTATTTTCTTAAATCGCCAAATTAACTTATTCTTAATTTAATTTTTTATTAAAATTTCTTTAAAAAAGCTTAATTTTTCATCATTTATATATTTCTTTAGCAATTCAAGTTATTATTTAAATTATTTTTTTTATTTTTTTATTTTATAATAATTTCTTCTAAATTTTTCTCATTTTTTTTTATTTAATCAAGTTCGAAATTTATTTATTTTATTTAATTTATAAGTTCTTGATTTTGTTTTTTTTGATTTTCATATTTCTCTTTCATATCCAAATATCATAATAGATTATTCTTTTACCTACTATATTTTTAAAAAATCAGTAAGAAATATATAGAAAAAAAAATATATATGTAAATATATATGTAAATATATATGTAAATATATATGTAAATATATATATATTTTTATATAAATAAATTTATATAAATAAATTTATATAAATATTTATATTCATATTATTTATTGTTTTAAATACTTTTATGTATAAATATTTTCGATTTATTAATTTTATTATTGTATCTAAAATTTTTGTTGATTAATTATTTAATTTTTTTAATTTATTTATTCTTATAAGTCTAAAATATTATTTTTAAGAACCGAATTTTTCTATATTATATTTTTCTTATCAATTTCATTTTATTTATTTTTTTAATTTTCATTTAATATTTCTTTTTTTAATTTTTCATTTTCTATTTTAATTTCTTCCTTTTTATTATTATACAATTTCTCTTCTTATTATTATATTTCTTATTAAAAACTTAATTTATTTTCGAATTCTTTTATTTCATTTTATAAAACTTCTATGTTATTTTATAAACCGAATATTAAATCTTCCTTTGTTTCAACCTATTTAAACAAATCTTCCTTTTAATTATTACAAAAACCAACTTCGTCTTCTAAAGATTCTATCCTTTTATTTAAATTCTCATTAATTTATTTATTTTTGATTAGTTCTTTCTTATTAAAATCATATTTGATCTTTGTAATTTTCAAAACTTAGATTAGTTTTTTGTTTTATTTAATAATTTCCTCGATTTTATCTTTCTAAATAATCTATTTAATATTATTTTCATTATTATTAAAAATATTTTCCTCTAAAACAACTTAATTTTTTATTATTTGAATTTTTTAAGCTCATATTTTAAACATTCTATCTAAAAAATTTTCATTTTTAATTTTTCATCTAAATTCTAATATTCATTTTCCAAAAAACTACAATAATCAAACAAATTTTCCTCATTCTTTTTTTAAAATACTTAATTTAATTTCTCATAATATTTATTTTATGATTCTTAAAATTATTTTTCGGCAAAATCATATTATTTTTAAGTAGTTTTTAAACAATTTTAAATATCTATATATTATTTATATATATATATATAGATCATTATTAATTATATTTATTACTTTTACATTCATTTGATTTCATATTTTGTATACTAAAACTCTTCTTTTTTCTAAACATTTCCAATTTACTATTATTATATGTCTTAAATAATTGTTAATTAGAACCGCTAGAAGCTTAAGTCTTTACTTTTTTTATATAATCTTAATTTATATCTTAAAATTCATTATTATTATTATTATATCTAGCTGATTTTTTTGAATATTAAGCACTTTAATTATTATTATTTAAATTTTTTAAATATTAACTTATTTTAATTTATTATGAATTGTAATCTATTGGTTATTTTATTTGTTAATTTTATTTTTAAATATTATCAATTATATCATTATATTTATATTCGGTTTATTATTTCATTTTTTTTTTAATTTAAACAAAAAATAAATTAAACAAATATAAAATTATAGTTTTTTATATAAATAAATAATTATTATTTTTAATATTAAAAATATTATTAATAATATTTAATAACATTTTAATTATTTAATTAGTAAATTTTAAATAAAAAAAAAAAAATATTTATTATTAATATTTTTATTTTAATTTTAATTTAATAATAATTTTATCAAAAAAAATATAATAATAATAATGTTTTAATATAATATATAATAATCAAAATAAAAAAATATTAATTTTAAAATTTTATAATTAAAAATAAAAAATTTGCATATAAAAAAAACCATATAATACATAAATAAATATATATATATATATATATTTATATTTATATATATTTATTTTATATTTGATATATATATGAAATAGAAATAAATTTTTATATAAATAAATATTTTTTTATATATTTATATTAATACTTTTTATTTTTAATTATATCAATTTTTTATTTTCTTTAATTTATTTAAATCAACAATATACATTTTTCCATCTTCAGAAACTGAAAAAAGTTATTATTCTTAATATTTTTCATTATATTCAATTAAAATATGATTAATTGTTTTGTTATGAAAGTTAAATTAACATATTAATTTTTTATTTTTCTTCGATATAATTTTTATTTATTTATCAGAAGTAGCAATAAATAAATATTTTTTTAAATTGATTATTTTTAATACATGTTATTATATACTAACATTATAATTTTCTATTTCTTTTATTTAAAAGTTAACCTTTATAAAGTTTTTATTTATAAACATCTTATTTTATAAATCCAAATCTAAAGAATATATTCCATTTACAGAGCAACCAATATGTATTTTTAAAAAAGTTAAATTTTTTTATTTATCCTAAACTTAAATTTACATATCAAATATATATGGCATTTCATCTTTATTATCTTAAATTTAAATTTTTTCACTAAAATATTAAATATCTTCATTTTCTTCACTTTTAATTTTAAATATTAATTTTATGTTTAAATTTATATAGAATAATAATTGTAATATATATATATATATATATATATATATATATATATATATATATATATATATATATAATAATATATACTACTAACTAATAATATACTACTAA